CTCTCTCTCCCTCTCTCTCCCCCTCTCTCTCCCTCTTTCTCTCCATCCCTTCCTCCCTCTAATACACATAGCTACGCTTAGCGCGTCCACTGACATTCCTATTTTCAGACTATTCAACAAAATTAAAGCAACGACAAAGGCAGGCGCAAACACGGAAGCAACGAGAATAACAACACAAATAACATAAAAACTGGCGCTATTGATAAGAACAAAAAGGGTGTGTATACATGTTTCCTAACAGTTGGAAAAAGAATTAACGAAAGGCAACGAGGGACAACATTCACGAAAAGAAAAGAAAAGAATTACAAAAGACAACAATAGGGACGACAACACAAACGGCCACAGTTGTTGCTTTACAAACTACATTGTACAATGCACATTGCAAAGCACGACAGAGCCTTGTTTAGAGAAAGGGTGTGCGTTATGTAAATGCAATCAAGTAGATCACATGCATTATTATTTTTCATATTATTATCATCATCATCAACATCGTCATCATTATCATCATCATCATCATCATCATCATTATTATTATTATTATTATTATCATTATCATTTCCCTTTCCTCAAACAAAGACTCTAAAACATTCTCTATCGTTTCCTCAGGTTTTTCTTCTCGACTTCTCTCGTACGGTGCCGGTGTAGCACAGTGCTACTCGAAACAAAGCTGACTTGACCACAGGACAAGTGAGGGAATCATGTGACCGTCTATGTCTGTGACGCCAGAGAGCCAACAGTGAACTGGTGAGCATCGTAACTTGGGTCGTTTTTGTTTGTTTGTTCGTTTGTTTGTTTGTTTGTTTGTTGTTGGGTTTTTTTTGGTGGGGGGATTAACCGTGAGCACCTATTTTTGCATTAAAATAAGTAAAGAGAACTACAATGTATATTGAAACAAGAACGGGCATTTATTGCAAGGAAAATAGAAAGGATACCTGATGCCCAGATGCTAAGTGTTCCACAGAAATAAAACGAAGAGTTGCAATGGTTAAGGGTAATTTCAATAAAATAAGTCTAATCCTCAAATACAGAAATATCTCAATGACTACCAAAATGAAAGTTCTGAAAGGCTACGTGTGGTCCACCCTTCAGCACGGCTATGACTGCTGGACAATCGCTAAAAACAGTGAAAATAAAATGGGAGCAACAGAAATGTAATATCTTAGGAGACTGCTAATAATTTTTAGAAGGAAAAACAAATCATATTAGGTTGTACTTGAAAACAATCAGTTTCTGGGACACTTGAAGAGGCTCAAAGGCTTTGAACAATTAACTCTCACTTTCAAAATTGAAAGGCAAACAAGGCAGGGGTACACGTAATGATGATGATGATACCCGGAAACATAAGGGACAATAAAGAAAATATTACATGTTATCAGCGCCCTCCAACTATCAGCTTGAGCACTTTGGCGTGTGAATTCTAGCGATTAAACAGGCATGCAAAAAACAAACAAACACAAAACATAGATATTACGAATCAGTCAAAATATACACATCGACTTGATAATGAGTGTTATGGTTATGGAAAAGCTACGCAGACACAAAACAGAAAAAATGTAGGACGACGCCAAACATTCACGAAGTTGCTATGACATCACCTCACAACTTCAGCAATAATCATTTCTATATTTTCGATTACTTTTTAAGGTGAAAACGTACTTTATTGGCACTACTGTGGTAACACAACATTACAATTAATTTCAGAAAAAAACGTTTCTACATTTTCACTTACTTTTTAATAATATGATAACAAACGCTGTTTCATCTACTCTGGCTACCCAACATCACAATTAATTTCAGTAATAGCATTTCTACATTTTCACTTACTTTTTGTATATTATAACTAACGCTTGTGCGTTATCAGCATCTCCCCTTGACGCATAACGACAAAAGAGGACGAAAAAGTAAAAGTAACTAACATTGTTTGCTCTACTGTGGGTACAGAACAGTACAATTAATTTCAGAAACAACATTTTTTCTATATTCGCAATTACTGTTTTGTATATCATAACTAATGTAGCTACGGAAACCAGCTGTTGTCCCTTGGGTGATGCTGTTCAATACTCTTTGGATTGAATTCCAATTTAAGTAGTTTTGTGTGTGTGTGTGTGTGTTTGTTTGTTTGCTTGTTTATTTGTCTGTGTGCGTGTGTTTGTGTGTGTGCGTCTGTTTTTGTATGTGTGCATATATGTGTGTGTGTGTGTTTGTTTGTTTTGTTTGTTTATTTGTTAATGTGTATGAGTGTGGGTTTGTTTGTTTGCATATGCCCGTGTTTATCTTTGAGAGAGAAGGAAGGATCAGATAGATGGATGGATAGATAGATAGATAGATCGATCGATAGATAGATAGATAGATATATAGATAGATAGACGGCTGGCAAAGAGACAGATGAATGGATGGACAGACAGATTGATAGAGAGAAGGTTGTGAGAAAGAGAAGACAAGAGAGATAGTGAGAGAGAGAGAGA